GAGACATAACTGCTCCTGGCATCAGAAAGGAAGATGGACATTGAAGAAACTCGTTATGAAGTTTTCTCCCAATGTGGCAAGACTAGCCATTTGGGCAAGACACTGCTCTTGTCTGGAATGGTTGACTTTATGCTGTATAATCTGGACATGCAGGACCCACAAAAAAGTGACTGCTGAAACAAGATGGGCATTGCTACAGAGTTGCTGCTTCATGGAAGAGCCTGCCAGACAGTCTATAGGACACAGAAAAGTGATGGACAAACTGCCAAAACAGGTGGACAGTGTAAAGTTTCCTGCTTTGCTGAGTAGTCTGCCAGACACATTATGGCCTATAGGCTGAAGATGGAATATTACAGAAGAACTTCAGGTGACTGACCAGTCAGTGAGTTGTCTCTCTCATTTCTAGAGTTTATATACTATCCTTCTGTGGTCTTTGATGGAGTTGAAGACAGTTATGGTTATGATTTTCCTTAGTTAGGATTAAAGATAAGTTACATATAGGACTTTAGACTCACAAAGATGGGATAGATGATGGAATATTTTCTTTAAATCTTGCTAAATATTAATGGACTGAATATTGTTAATGGTGGTTTTTATTTGATAACTGTTTTGTTATATATTTTTGCTATGTTAAGGTTAAAACCCTTCTTTTTATTTTAGACAGAAAAGAGAAGATGATGGGAGATGTCATTCTGTAAATATGTTTCTCTTATTGGTTAATGAATAAAGCACTGTCAGCAAATACGAAGGCAAGATAGGCAGGACTGGGGGACAAGGAGGATTCTGGAAGATGTAGTAGGGAGGGGAATCAAGATATAGAGACATTAGGGAAGAAGGTCCATACCCTCTCTCCGGTAAAATAAGACCACGTGGAAACACTTAGATTGATAGAAATGGGTTAATATTTAAGACAGAGCTAGCCAATAAGAAATGCTAGTAACAGGCCAATAGCTTTATATCTAATACAGTGTCTCTCTGTGTTATTTGGGGTGACACGGGTGTGTGACCAGGCTGGCAGGAAAACTGCTCATAACAAGCTTGTCTCTTAGGTTGTTAAGGATCCTATCAATTTGGTGATCAAGGTTAACCACTACAGAGAGCAACTTGTTCACTGGTAAAATGTGGTGTTCACAATGCAACAGGTGTCAATTTCCAGGAAGGAAAACATGGATGCCAAGACGCCAAGAGCATCTGCTTGATGCATTGGTAACATAGCTTTCATTTTATAACAATCATATTTCAATCCCAGTGATACTGTGAGATCCACAGTTACATTTTAAGTTTTAATTACTATGCTTAAGAGATCCATGAAACAAAAATGCCTCTGATTTGCAAGCCCCTTGCCCAAAGACAGATAGTTCCTGAAATGCTGGAGGCTATTGTTTATGGGAGGTAACAAGCCCCTAAACAGGTTTGTTTGACCTATCTGCTCTGCGTATGCTTGATCACATGTAGACAGGAGGTTCACGGGCAGGAAATATGTCACGATACGTGCTGCAAACTGGGCCATTTTGTTTCTGGGAAACCTGGCCAGAGCCTTTCTACCTGGCAAATATTAAATAAAGCTTGCTTCAAATTTGGCTTTAAATGGTGCTAGTGGTCTTATTCTTGACCAGTGAGATTAACAATGAAACCACCTTTCAGGAACATAGACTGTTTCATGGTTGGGAAGCTCAGACCCTGATGAATGTCAGTCCTGGGAGTCCTAGGTACTCTGTGAGGTTCAAGTCAACCAAGAAACCATGTCTATTTTTTTTTTTATTTTATTGACATAACTTTTCTTTTTTAGAACTCCAAAAGGCAAGGGAGAGAACAATTCTCTGGCACAAAAATGCTTCCCTAAGACTTAGTATTTATTCTTGACAAGGAGTAGAAACTGTAATTCATTTATTCCCCCTAGCTGTCACAGTTATCCTTAATTGTCACCTTGACATATCTGGAAAAAGGAAACCTCAAATGAGGAATTTCACTATCAGATTGGCTTGGGGCATATCTGTGGGACATTTTTTGGATTGCCAATTGATAGATGGGTATAGCACACCTAGGCATGTGGGCCTGGGCTGCTTAAGAAATGTAGCTGAGCAAGCCAGGGGAGCAAATCAGTAAGCAGCATCCTCTGTGGTCTATGCTTCAGTCCCTGCCTTCAGTCTCCTGCCTTAAGTCCTGACCCTGACTTCCCTCAGTGATGGACCATGACTGGGAGTTCTACAGGGAAATAGACGCTCTTCTCCCCAGGTTGGCTTTGGTCCATGTCTAAGTTAGGGTTCCTGTTGCTGTGATGAAATACCAGGACCAAAATGCAAGTTGGGAAGGAAAGGGTTTATCTGTCTAACCCTTCCAGATTGGAGGAAGTCAGAAGAGGAACTCAAGCAGGGCTAGAACCTGCTGCAGAGGCCATGAAGAGAACTGCTTACTGATTTGCTCCACATGGCTTGCTCACCCTGTTTTTTAAACAAATTTTTATTTAAATTAGAAACAATCTTATTTTACATATCAATTCCAGCTCCCCCTTCCTCCCATCTTCCCATGCCTTCCACCTATCCCCCAACTCACCCCCCAATCCATTCCCCAGGGAGGGTGAGACCTTCCATGGGGGATCATCAAAGTCTGTCTCATCATTTGGGGCAGGGCCTAACCACCCCACCACCCCTGTGTATCTAGGCTGAGAAAGTATCTATCCCTCTATGGGGAATGGGCTCCCAAAGTCTATTTGTGCACTAGGGATGAATACTGGTTCCACTGCCAGAGGCCCCATAGACTGCCCAGGCCTCCTGACACCCATGTTCAGGGGGACTGGTTTGGTCCTGTGCTGGTTGCTCAGCTGGTAGACTGGTCTCTGAGCTCCCATTTGCTCAGGTCAACTGTTTCTGTGGGTTTCCCCATTGTGGTTTTTGCTCATCACTGCTCCCTCTCTGCAACTGGATTACAGGAGTTTGGCTCAACTCAATGCTTAGCTGTGGGTCTCTGCTTCTGCTTCCATCAGCTACTGGATGAAGGTTCTAGAGTGGTATATAAGGTAGTCATCAATCTCATTATAGGGGAAGGGCATTTAAGGTAGCCTTTCCACTATTGCTTAGACTCTTAGATGAGGTCATCCTTGCGGATCTCTGGACATTTCTCTACTGCCAGATTTTTCTTTAAATCTATAACGGCTCCCACTATTAGGTATCTCTTTTCTTGCTCTCCTCTGTTCTTCCCCTGACTCAATCTACCTGATCGCTTATGTTCTCCTCCCCGCTCCTCTTCTCCCCTTCTCTTTCTCCTACCTCTCTTCTCCTTCCCCCACCCCCACCATGCTCCCAATTTGCTCAGGAGATCTTGTCCCTTTCTCCAGGGGACCATGTATGTCTCTCTTAGGGTCCTCCTTGTTTCCTAGCTTCTCTAGAGGTGTGGATTGTGGGCTGGTGATCCTTTGCTCTATGTCTATTACCCATATATAAGTGAGTGCATACCATGTTTGTCTTTCTGTGACTGGTTTACCTCATTCAGGATTGTTTCTTCTAGTTCCATCCATTTGCCCGTGAATTCCAAGATTTCATTGTTTTTTTTTTTTTGTTTGTTTGTTTGTTTGTTTGTTTTTTGTCCCCCCCACCACCACCACTGAGAAGTACTCCATTGTGTAAATGTATCCATTCTTCACTTGAGGGGCATCTAAGTTGCTTCCAGGTTCTGGCTATTACAAATAATGCTACTATGAACATAATGAACAGATGTTCCTGTTGTATGAATGTGCATCCTTTGGGTATATGCCTAAGAATAGAATTGCCAGGTCCTGCGGTAGACTGATTCTCATTTTCCTGAGGAACCGCCATACTGATCTCCAAAATGGCTGTACAAGTTTGCAACTCACCAGCAATGGAGGAGAGTTCCCCTTTCTCCACATCCTCTCCAGCAGTGTTTCTAATTTTAGCCATTCTGACAGGAGTAAGATGGTCTCTCAGAATTGTTTTGATTTGAATCTAATTTTAGCCATTCTGACAGGAGTAAGATGGTCTCTCAGAGTTGTTTTGATTTGAATTTCCCTGATGGCTAAGGATGTTGAGCACTTTTTAAGTGTCAGACATTTTAGATTCCTCTATTGAGAATTCTGTACCCCACTTTTTATTGGATTATTTGGTGTTTTGGTGGCTAGCTTATTGAGTTCTTTGTAACTCTTGGAAATCGGCCCTCTGTCAGATGTGGGGTTGGTGAAGATCTTTTCCCATTCTGTGGGCTGCCATTTGGTCTTGTCAACTGTGTCCTTTGCCTTACAGAAGCTTCTCAGTTTCAGGAGGACTTATTTATTAATTGTCAATCTCAGTGTCTATGCTACTGACATTATATTCAGGAAGTGGTCTCTTATACCAATTCATTCAAGGGTACCTCCCACTTTCTCTTCTAAGAGGTTTCACCCTGCTCTCTTATAGAACCCAGGATGACCAGTTCAAGGATGGTGCCACCCACATTGGGCTGGGCCCTTCTCCATTGATCACTAATTGAGAAAATGCCTTACAACAGGATCTCACAGGAGCATTTCCTCAACTAAGGCTCCTTCCTCTGATGACTTTAGCATATGTCAAGTTGACACATAAACCAGCCTGTTCAGTCCCTGTTTTATCAGAAACAGAAAGGAAAACCAGAATAGAAGCTAACTGTAAGAGTCTGGCAATAAGAGAAATACAGAATTCCTCATGTAGACACTACTAAATGTAAGAGTTATTCAACACTTTTATCAGAGACTCAGACATATTCACAACAGTGTGCAAATTAATGACTCAATAAGTAAAACAAGGCCATCACTATTAAAAATTGCCACCAAAATCATTCATTAGTTCAGTCCATTTCCATAGTCAGAGGACTTACACCTCTACTAATAATAGTAGCAACGTATCTGAAACAAATATTTTATCAGTGTGCCTTTTCGTACCTGACAACATACTCCTGTGGAATAAATACTACCAGAGAAAGAACATCTCTTCCATATTAATGACATTAGTGAGAAGCCAGTGAAACTGACTTACCACATTGACTCCTGCACTCAGCAGTTTTCCCCAGAGTGCTTCCATCTCCTTTGCTTGCTTTTCAGTTGTAACAATCAAGCTGGAATTTTCAAGTTCAATCCTAAATATTTTAAAGCAATTATTCTCACCGGTGAATTTTAAATACATGATTTCTAAATGATTGTCTTAAAAGTAATTTACAACTTCTTTGAAAACCAAGGTATTTGGTAGATGAATCCTTTTCCTCGCTATGTTTGTGAAGTTTGGAGATTGTGTGAGTAACTGCTTTCTCCCTCTATTTTTGTGGTGCTCATGGATGAGATCAGGGCCTTATGCATGCAAACATACATCCTGCCACTGACTTAACTCCCTGCCCTGTGCAATTATGTAATGCAAGTCAAATGACTGGAAGCATAAAATTCACCGAGGCTTTACATGCATGCACCTCTGCTCGTGTGGATGCAGGGCTCACACTGCTCTGCCTGTCTGCCTCATAAACACTCTAGCTGTCTTTGCCAGCTGCATGCAGTTATACCTCTGAATCCTACGGCACATCATCTCCGCAGCTTTTAGCATCTCCAATGCTTCTTGCAACTGGAACAAAGAAAAGGGGAAAGTTACAATTAGGCCAGCGCAAGCATGTCCATCTCATGTTTCTCGGGGTACGGGCAGACACTTCCTCTGCATGACGTACATGGTTTTCCCTGTGCTGTAACTGGAGAGCTAGCAGACCTATTGCAGCAGAACCTGGTGGCCTGCGAAGCCTAATATCACACTATCTGGCTTTTTCCAGAAGTATTTATGAGCCCGGCACTAATTAGTTTTGAACTGTATTTTATCAGATACTCAAGGTGAAACAATTGATAAAATAGAGCAAATTCCATGTGGTAGAAATGAACTGTTTTACTTCCAAACATCTCCTTACTGACCTGTATTTGAGAAATCATATTAGTGATGATAAAAACTAACATGTGGCCACTGTTCTATTGCTGTGAAGAGATGCCATGACCATGGCAACTTCTTCAAAAGAAAGCATTTAACTGAGGGCTTGCTGACAGTTTCCGACTCTTAGCCCATTATCACAGCAGTGAACGACATGATGGCAGGCATGGCAGACTGGGCCTAGCATGGGCTTTTGGAACCTCAAAGCTCTCTCCCAACATCACACTCCCTCCCACAAGGCTGTACCTCCTAACCCTTCTCAAATAGTGCACTCCATGATGACTAAGCATTCAAATATATAAATCTATAGGGACTTTTCTCATTTAGACCACTACAATGTCTCATGGGATCATTTTTCAGGGATGGTATCTACACAGATGCCAGAATGTGAGGGTCTCCATCTCAACAGTTATAAGGTGAGGAATCCTGAGCAAGTTAAGGTTTTGTCTTGGTTTCTTCATCTGTGATATGGAGATATTGATAGAAACTACTACATTGGATTGTCTGGATATGGTCAGGGAATATACAGATGGCATATTATAAGCTACATATAACATGTGCCACTGGTATTAGCATCAAGATTGCATTTTATATTATAATATGTGAGCAGGGAGCTCTTCCTGATAAGTCCCTTCTCACTTTAGAGAAAGTGGCATCATATGACAGGTGAGACTCCTAATGCATCCTTAGTACTTATTGAAATTTGAACAATTATAACAGTGTTGTATAGCTGTTTTCTCTGGATGAAACATCCCTTCCTAAAGGAAAGTGGGGATCATAAGACTCCAGAAGCTCATGAAAATTACTAGGCTCAGGATGTCCACAAAACTCATAGGGATCCCTCTAGGGGCTCAAACAATACCTGTGGGAGAAAACACTCTTCCACAGAGCTGCCTATATGTTGTGCTGGGAATGTCTGAGCTGTCACTCTGCTGGGATGGGCTTTTCATGATTCAGCTACCCATGTTCTCCTGTGCTTCTCTAGTGATCCCCAAGCTCAGTGTAGATTACATACAGCCCACCTTGGGCAGCATTCACTGTTCTTTTGGTATGTCATTGTTGTATCTGGTGTGAAGACGTTTAGTCACATCTCCACAGAAAAAGCCACACAACAACTAGACAACAGTACTCTTTCCCACCTAGAATAGCCATACTCTGTAGGCTGTGGTAGGTATAGTGCAGTGCAAATGGCACCTGCTAGAATAAGGGACATCAAAGTGACATGACCTGGAGATAAGCTAAAGCCGCTGATGGACTCTATTGTGAAATCAAGAGTCCTCAGTCTGCCCCAACTTCTGTCCTGTGAGTCTGCTTTGCCACACTCCATGAGTGTTAAGCTGTTGTGGAATGGTATATAAAAGAAGCTGCTGCAGGGGCTTTCCACAAGTTATGTGGTAAGTGTTGTGCCCAAGTTTTCAACCCCCCAAATCACCAAGAGACCCATTCCAGTGCAAAAGCAAAGTGTCTTTTGTTATTAACGAGTTAACTGCATTAACTCAAGCCCTTCCCGTCTGTCTAACACAGCTGTTGTCATGAGTAGGACCCTGAGAAACCAAGAGGCAGGAAACTTATTGGGCAGTGTAAGGGGAGTGTCTAGGGGTGTGCAGCAGTCTCAGGATTGGTGTGCTTCTGGGCTTGGGTGACCTGTCCTGCGCTGATTAGTTAACTGGTTGCTTTGGGACAGGTAGCCCAAGCCTGCAAGTACACCAATCTTGAGACTGTTGCGTACCCCTAGACACTCCCCTCACTCTACCCAATAAATTCCCCACCTGGTGATCCCTCCCCCACCCCACCCCAGCCCCTCCAGGTCCTTCTTACTCCTGCCCATCATGTCAGAGGGAGGGAAGACCGAGTTAACTCGTTAAATAATAAAAGACTCTTCGCTTTTGCATCAAAATGATTCTCTTGATGACTTGAGGGTTCAGAATTTGGGCACAACAATAATGAGGCCAGATAGTAAACATGGAAAAGCCAAAATGAACAACATGAGGAAAGGCAGAGAGATAGCATCATGAATTCATCTACTGAGGAGGGGAAAACCCTGTATTCAAGAAGGTAAACAGATTAAGAAATGTAATAAAGGGAGTGGTGACCTCAGGGCAAGATCCCACCCAGCTAAAATTCCAAATTGTGAAAAGGAATTAAAGAAAATCTTAGAGTTGGGTGTGGTGGGGCACACCTTTAATCCCAGCAATCAAAAGGCAGAGGCTGGCAGATCTCTGAGTTTGAGTCCAGCTTGGTCTACAGAGCAACTTAGGCAGTGAAGGAAAACAGAAAGCTGGTGAAGATGTAATTGAATGAAGGGCCAAACTCTAGCTCCAGCAAGCAGCAGAACTTGGTAGCTTTGGCCCCATGGTCTGGAATTAATGATAAAAGAAATGGGTTAAGAAATTTGCCTCCACATCTAAGGAAAGCCACTGAGGCAAGCATGTGTCAAGTGTGTCCCTGAATGGAGGTCTAGAGGAGCCATTGTGTGAAGCTATGAAGTTGAAGCCTGAATTGCCTGGAGACCCCAAGATGTTAGGGATGCCAGAGCTATGGTATACCTGCCAAGGAAACTTGCTAACAGGGCTCAGAATCAGCCCAAGAGAAAGAAGTGTGTTACAGTCAACAAGCTGAAAGGAGTTGGAGATCTGAAGAGCATTTTGACATCAGACAAGGAGAGGAAGAGTTTGGAGTTTGCCCAGATGATTCTCAGTCTTGCTTTGGTCCAGTATTTCCTCACTATGCTCCCTGCCTTATGTTTTGGAATTGTAAAGTATATCCTGTGCCATATTTGTTGGAAGTGTTTGGTCTGTTTATTTGGTTTTAGTTTTACAGGGGATTACAGTTAAGAGATTGCATGAATCTCAGAAGAGACTTTGAACTTTACACTTTTAAGTAAGTTTGAGACTGGTATAAACTATGGGGACTTTGAGGCTGTTTTGAATTCATTTTTGCATTATGATATGACTACAAGCCTTTGGGGTCAAAGAGTAGAATATGGTGGTTTGAAAGAAAATAGCCTCTGAATGGTGTGGCACTATTAGAAGTTGTGGCCTTGGTGGAGTAGGTATAATCTTATTATAGGAAGTGTGTCACTGTGGAGGTAATCTCTGAGTCCTCATATATGCTCAAGATACTGCCCAGTATCTCAGACCACTTCCTGTTGCCTGCAAGATATAAGACTCTCAGTTTCTTCTTCAGCACCATGTCTGTCTGCATACAGCCACATCACACCATGATAATAATGGACTGAACTTCTGAAAAAGTAAGCCACCTTAATTAAATATTTTTCCTTTATTAAGAATTGCCATGGTCATGGTGTCTCTTGACAACGATAGAAACCCTAAGACAATTATTCAAATTCTAATTTCTTGACTAACAGCTAAATTTACCAAAGAATAAAAGAAGTTCTTTCATGCAGGCAGAGACCAGGAATTAACATTAAATTACAAAACATTTAACTAACATCATTGTAATTTCAAAACTCAGTAAGCCTTATTTTAGCATAAAAATGCCTAAGCTGACATTTATCCTAGAGATTGCCCTTGGCTTACCTTGCATGCCATTATTCAGAAAATGTACACTGAGCATCCACTTTATGACAAGATTTACAACAAATAAAAATCAAAAACTTTGTCATCGTTTCCTTTTAGGATGAGATGACATTTCAAGTCTAAATAAAAGTCACATGCCACGTAATGTTCTCTGGTCTACCATGGACCACATGTACACTGGTCCCACCAGACTTCTGGACATAGTGCTATGGTAAAGAGCAGGGATTGTGCAAGCACAGAGTTTGTGTGAGCACAGGGCTGTAAACACAACATTTCTCAGGTTGTGTCCCTGTCCATAGGCAAACATAACTGTATGTGTCAAATCGAGAGAGTTTTACATGTTATATTGATGAAACAAAGTCAGAAATATGAGATTTTACCCAGGATTAATTCACCTTATTCAAAGTTTTTTCCTCAATTTCTGCCCAAAAACACATTTCAGGGTATGTCACATCAAGTTTCTCAAGGTATTGCTGTCTTTCAGTTCTCGAGTTTTCCATGTTGCCATAAGGCAACTGCGCATGTATCATAGTCTTCTCTCCTTGTGAGGCAAATCTGCAATTAAAGATGCTTTTATTGAAATTATCTGTTTATCAATTACTATCTAGTACAGTTCTGTTCATTTCTCACTTAGAGCTTTTCCAAAAGACTTACACTTAGAAGGTAAAAATGTAAGACCAGATAATTTAAAATTAAATAATTTTGATTAGCTGAGTGTGCTAATGATGGGAGATGTCATTCTGTAAATATGTTTCTCTTATTGGTTAATGAATAAAGCCCTGTTAGCCAATAGGAAAGTAAGATAGGCAGGATTAGGAGACAAGGAGGATTCTGGGAGATGTAGTAGAGAGGAGCCAAGATTTAGGACATGAGCGAAGTAAGAGGTCTGGACCCTTGCTCCAATAAGATAAGACCACATGGAAACACTTACATTGATAGAAATGGGTTAATATTTAAGACAGAGCTAGCCAATAAAAAGCTCTAGTCACTGGCCAACAGCTTTACATCTACTCTAATGCAGAGTCTCTGTGTTATTTTGAGACTGATGAGACTCTGGGACCAGGCTAGCAGGAAACTGCTTGTAACAAAATGGCGCCTGCAACATGGGCACTAAAGAACTTCCACTTAAAACACAACAAAAGCTTAAAAAGGGATTTTTAAAAGGGGGGCAAGGCTTCTTGGTAGCAGCATTTTTCTTGTGGGGGGGCTCCATTTTGCTAGAGACAAGCAGACTTGCACGGCTCCTTTAAGGGAGGTTTCCTGACTCAGCATAAGCAGGGGGGGGGAAATGCAGGGCTCTTTTAAGAGGCCCTGGTAACAACTAATTTTAGCAATGTTGTTATTTAGCAGATACAAAACTTATGACTAGAAAAAAGGTATAGCTATACAGTAAAGACAGATTCAGATGAACTAAAACCTAAAAGGTTTTTACAGCATGTTAAAAAATATACATAGGCTTGGGAAGAAAATAATAAGGATATTTAGTTAAGAAAAAATAATAACTTGGCAGTGGTGGTGAACGCCTTTAATCCCAGCACTCAGAAGACAGAGGCAAGCAAATCTCTGTAATTTCAAAGCAAACCTGGTGTGCAGTGTAAATTCAAGGACAGGCAAAAGTTACATAGAGAAACCCTGCCTCAAAAGAATGAAAAAAAAAAATAGAAGTAGAAGAAAAAGAGTAATAAAAAAGCCACGTAAAGATGGAAAGCACACAAAGAGTCTGGATACTGTGTGTTATTGTGTTGTCTTTGAATTGCTCAATTGCTAAGGAAGGAACAACAACTTATAAACACACTTGATTATCAATGATGCTAAATTAATCCAACTTACACATTTTAAAAATGCTTTGACTTCAAAATTTAAGTCTAAGGACAGGTTACTGGGGGGAAAGAACTGCTAGTTTTGTTTCCACAGAAAATGAAAAGCTGTGGATTCCTTCCAGACTAACTTGGTTTGATCAAGCAAGACCTCCTAAAACATTGTCCCAGGTGATCCAACATTCAAAACAGCTGGGACAAGGCAGCCTTGCAGACTATAGCCAGGATTTCTGCGTCTTCTTAGGATCCCCATGGTATTAATGCATCCCTAACCAACAGGAAACAGTTTGGAAAGAACAACACCCAATTTCCCAAATATTGTATAGAAATGTTTGTTTTCATTAAATATGATTGTTTATAACTGGCTAATTATCACAACCAACCTCTTTTTAAAGGTAAAAGGAGATTATGGTATAGAAATGAATACTTTGTATTGGAGTGGATTTTCAGTTATTGATAACAAATTTAAGGTCAATTTGTGATATGTATGTTTCTCTTGTTTAGGTATTGTGTTTATATAGTTCATTTAAGAATGTAATATATAATTAAATACAGATTATAGATAATTGTCTATAATAGTCAAAACTTATAGTTAGGTGAGTTACGTTTTCTAGATATACAGAGATGTATTTGAGGTGAATAGCTATTCAAACTTTTCAAAGACTTACAAAATATGGCATTTAAAATGGTTTAGGGTTTTTCATGACAGTGAGACACAACTACTCCTGGCAACAGCAATTATGTCTGAGAGGAAGATGGGCATCAAAGAAACTCATTATGGAGTTTGTTTCAATATGCAAGACTAGCCAGTTCAGCAAGAAATTGCTCTTGCCTGGACTGTTTGACTTTATGCTGTATAAACTGGATGTGCAAGACCCACAGAAAGTAACTGCTGAACTTACAAAACAAGATGGACAGTCTTAAAGGGTTCCTACTTCACAGAAAAGTCTGCCAGACATTCTACAGGACACAGAAAAATGACTGACAAATTGTCAAAACAGGTGGACAGTTTAAAATTTCCTGCTTCACTGAGAACTCTGACAAACACACTATGGCCTATGGGCTAAAGATGGATGTCCCAACATTGCAGAAGAACTTTGGGTGACTGTCCAGGTAGCAAATGTTTCTGTCATTTCTAGAGTTTATATATTATCCTTCTGTGGTCTTTGATGGAGTCAAAGACAGATAGTTATATTTTACCTTAGTTAGGATTAAAGGTAAGTTACATATAAGACTTTAGACTCACAAAGATAGGATAGATGATGAAATATTTTCTTTAAATCTTGCTAAATGTTAATGGACTAAATATTGTTAACTATAGTTCTTTTTTTGATAACTGTTTTGTTATATATTTTACTACGTTAAAGTTAAAGCCCTTCTTTTTATTTAGACAGAAAAGAGGAGATGATGGGAGATGTCATTCTGTAAAAATGTTTCTCTTGTTGGTTAATGAATAAAACCCTATTGGCCAATAGGAAAGTAAGATAGGCAGGACTAGGAGACAAGGAGGATTCTGGGAGATGTAGTAGAGAGGAGTCAAAATGTAAGACATTAGAGAAGTAAGAGGTCTGGACCCGGCGGGTCCACTTGGAGTTCCTGCAGGCAAGATCCTTGACCCCCAAAGCCGGGCCCCTGCCAAAGAACGAGGTCTCAGCTGGAGAGCGCCAGTTTCCAGTGAGATCCCACTACCCTGCAAAACCTTCTCAAGTTCCAGCCCAGCCCTCGTCCTCTTCTGCCGGCTATTGGCCAGAGGTGAGTCTGGGCCCAATCGGGGCTGCCTGTCCCCTTCAACCTCTTTTCCCCCCCTCCCCCGCCTGAACTCCCTGGATTGGCCCCTGATCCTGCTGCTCCTGTCTCCGGTCCCCTTTGAGAGCACCCTTGGAGCTCTGATACACCCCCACCCATCCCAACCTCCAGCCTACCCCCCTACCCTGTGCCCTACCCCACCTACGGTCCTGCCGCTCTGGTTGAGCACTGGGACAGAGGGTGGAGCCAACAGTCCACCCTACTTCGGAGACCTCTCGGAGCAACTCCGAACAAAGGAGACCTGACTATCCACGTGGGACCACCTGTAATTTCCACCGGCTTGGTCCCTGACCCCGCCTCCAGTCCTCTGCTGGAGTCCCAGGCCCCTCCCAGAGATCCGCCTATCTCTGTGGGTCCACTTGGAGTTCCTGCAGGCAAGATCCTTGACCCCCAAATCCGGGCCCCTGCCAAAGAACGAGGTCTCAGCTGGAGAGCGCCAGTTTCCAGTGAGATCCCACTACCCTGCAAAACCTTCTCAAGTTCCACTCCAGCCCTCGTCCTCTTCTGCCGGCTATTGGCCAGAGAGAAGCCTCCTAGAGAGCTTGGACCACACAGAGATACAGACATTGAATCTTTGATCCACATAAGCCCATCTGGGAAGGACCATAGAGAGAGGGAAGAGACACCACCAACACCTACAGGAAGAAACTATGGGAAGAAGGCAATACAAGAGAACACCTAACAACAGAAAGACAAACATGACACCACCAGAATCTAGGGAATCTACACCAACTAGAATGGAACACAACAACAAAGCAGAGGAAGCAGAAGGGTACGACTTAAAAATCACCATCATAAAAATGATAGAGGCCCTCAAAGAAGATATGAGAAAATCCCTTAAAGAAATAGAGGAAAAAACAAACAAAAAAGTGGAAGAAATGAACAAATTCCTTAAGGAAAGTACAGAAAGCCAAGAAAAAACAATTAACCAGGTGAAGGAAACGGTTCAAGATTTGAAAACCGAAATTGAGAAAATAAAGGCAACACAAATGGAAGGAAAGCTGGAAATTGAAAAGCTGGGCAAAAAATCGGAAACCACGGACACAAGCATAACCAATAGAATTCAAGAGATGGAAGAGAGAATCTCAGGCGCAGAAGATAAACTAGAAGAAATAGATTCATCGACCAAAGAAAACCATAAATCCAACAAATCCTTAACACACAATATCCAGGAAATGTGGGACACCATGAAAAGGCCAAACCTAAGAATAATAGGCATAGAGGAAGGTGAGGAAGCCCAGCTCAAAGGTGCTGAAAACATATTCAACAAAATCATCGAGGAAAACTTTCCAAATCTGAAGAAGGACATGCCCATGAAAGTACAAGAAGCATACCGAACCCCAAATAGGCTGGACCAAAGAAAAAAGACCCCTCGACATATAATAATCAAAACACCTAGCATACAGAATAAAGAAAAAATATTAAGAGCAGCGAAGGAAAAAGGACAGGTAACATATAAAGGCAGACCTATCAAAATTACACCTGACTTCTCCATGGAAACCCTCAAGGCCAGAAGGTCCTGGATAGATGTTCTAAAAGTATTAAGAGAACACGGATGCCAGCCTAGGCTACTATATCCAGCAAAACTCTCAGTCAATATAGATGGAGAGAACAAGATATTCAATGACAAAACCAGATTTTCCCAATATGTATCTACAAATCCAGCCCTACAGAAAGTATTGGAAGGAAAATTCCAACCCAAGGAAGGTAACTACGCCCACAAAAATGTAGGCAACAGATAATCCAACTACACCAGAAACCTAGGGTGAAGCAGAACAAATATATTCACAATACCACTGCCAACAACAAACCTAAATCAAACAACCATCAACAATCAATGGTCCTTACTCACCCTCAACATTAATGGTCTTAACTCACATATAAAAAGACACAGATTAACAGAATGGATACGAAGACAGAATCCATCCTTCT